CCCTCTGCCTTGGTTGTACCATATTTAGAGTTTAGTTTTAGGCCCATAGTTTAATTAGGACATTCCTAAGCTAGAACAAATCCCAAGGAGGGCAACTAGAAGTATGAAAGGATGGATGACTTCATGAAGATTGACAATATGAAGGCTGTCAAAGGAGAAGAATTAGGCTCCCAGGCTTTCCACTTCATCCCCCTTGTCCCCAGTCAGGTTATGAAAGCACAGATTTTCCTTGACTGACTCTCTGTAGCTTGGACACTGCCCACAGAGCCTCTTTCCCTAAATTGAAGAAAACCACAGAAAGCTCCTAGGGTATTGGGCCTCTTCATTGGTATTAGACAGTGGATTGATAATCAAACCCTTGGCCTTGGGCGTGAGGGGGGAGGAAGGAGGAGGAGGAGGAAGAAGAAGAAGAGGAAAAAAAGTGTAGGCGGCCGAGTAAGCAGAAGAGCCAACCTTAGTTCTCCTCGATCTCTGTTGGTGGTCACATCTGAAGTCACTTCCAAAAACGCCCATTGAGCATCTCTTATGAAAGGTAGCAAAGTGGTTGGACTGCTAGGTGACGTTGTAGATAGAGTGCTGGGCCTGGAATCAGGAAGACCTGAGCTCAAATTTTACCTCAGATACTAGCTGGGCAACTCAGGACAATCAAGTAACCCTGTTTACCTCAGTTTCCTCATCTGTAAAATGAGCTGGAGAAGGAAATGGCAAACCACTCCAGGATTTTTGCAAAGAACCCCCCAGATGAGGTCACAGAATCAGACCCGATTGAAACAACTCAGCAGCAGCAATAAAAATGTGGAGGGCATTCAGCTAGGCATTGGAGACAGAAAATAACAAGGGGTGTCAGAGACCTTACTAGCAGGTGAAATATGAACCCTAAGTTCCCTAAGTAAATACAAAGTGATTTCCTGGGGAGAGGGAGGAGCTAACATCTAGGCTGATTAGGAAATGGCTCTTGTAAAAAGCACCTGAACTGATCCTTGAAGTAAACTCCTGCAAAAAAAAGAGTAGTGAGAAGGATCACGGGATCATTAATTTTGCCTTGGAAAAAACCTTAGAAGTTTTCTAGTCTCATATTCTCATTTTACAGATGAAGAAACTGAGGTACAAGGAGATTGATTGACTTGCTCAGGGTTACCAGGGTAGTAGCAGAGCCAGTAATTGGCCTCAGGACTCTGGGATCAGGGCTCAAAGCCTGATGGGGAAACATTCTCATGTGGGTAGCCTCACCTGGCCTGCTAGGGGATAGGTGGGCAGTGGCATTGAGCTCAGGTGACCAGCCAAGTGTCTGGCAGCTCCCCCGAGGGCCAGGTACCTGACACCTGTGAGCTACGGAGAGAAGACAATATGAGCTGTGTCCTGCCCCATCCTGCTGAGGGGAAACAGGCTGTGCTCTGTGTGCCGGGCCAGGAAACGGGCCACTTGAGCAGGTTCCTTTTGTCTGGCTGTGAGAAACTCTCTCCTTGAGCCAGAACTGCCTGGCATGCAGGGAGTATCAGCGGGGGCCACTAACGCTGAGCAGGGTGTCTTCCCCACAACTGGGGACTCCTAGGTCTGAATGCCAGCTTTCTAGGCCAGTTCCTTGCCCAGTTCCCCGGTTTTTCTTTTGCTAGCAGCAGTCAGATGCAATGGCCTGGGTCATCTCACTGAGGTGCACACCCCTTGTGTGCCCTCTCCTTGGCTTGAGTGTCCTTGGTCCTGGGCCTGACCCCAAACTCTCCCCCAGCTCCTAGTCCTAGGGTTGATAACTTTTGGAGTGAAGACCACAGTCTATGGGATTTCTGCAGAGTTGAGAAAAGGCATTATCTCAGACCAAGCAAATAAAGCTAATCCATTGTGATGACTTCTAGTGGGATATAAACTCTTTGAGGGAAGTACTGTCCACTTTTGTGCAGTACCTAGGGCATGTTTATTGACAGTTTCCCGTGAGCCTAAGGTAGAGATCTGGGAGCTGGACTATAGCCCAACTCAACCTTCCATAGCTCCTGCCTTCCTAAGGATTAGATGAGTCTTGGAGACTTTCCAGGTTCGAGTGGTTATTCCATCAGACGACCACTTAAAACTGAGGAATGAATGAATGAGAAATTATTAAGAGCTTGCTATGTGCCTAACCCTGTGCTAAGCACTGGAGATACAGATACAGAAAGGGGATCTTTCCTGACTTTAAGAAGCTTACATTCTGATGAAAGGAGACAATAGGTATTGAGGAATGGTGGCCAGGGAAGGGGAGTTTGGTTTGCAAAGCCATGGTAATGGTGAGTGGAGCCCTAGGAAAGCTGAAGGAGCCAAATCTGCCCTGGTCAGACCTCATTCTGGCATGCTGTGTTCTATTTTGGGTACCACTTTTTGGTACATTGATCAACTGCAGTGTGCCCATACTAGAGTAACCAAATTGAAGAGCCCTTCTTATGCAAAAATCACTTTAAAGAATTGGGAATTTTAGAAAAGAGAACATGGGGTGCGAGGGGAGGACAAGAGCTAAGTATTTGAAGGACTGTTATATGAAAGAGACATTGGCCTTGTTCTGCTTCACCTCAGAGCAGAATTAGAACCATGGATGAAAGTTGTAGAGGCAGATTTTAGTTTGGGGAAGCTAGGTGGCATAGTGGAAAGAGCCCTGGGCTTGGAACCAGGAAGACCTTCCTGTGTGCCTCAGACACTTATTCACCAGGTGACCCTGGGCAAGTCACTTAGCCCTATTTGCCTCAAGTTTCCTCATCTGTAAAATGAGCTGGAGAAAGAATCAGCAAGTCACTCCAGTATCTTTGCCAAGAAAACCCCAAATGGGGCCATGAAGAGTTGGACATGACTGAACAACAACACAAATATTTTAGTTCAATCTTAAGAAAAAACAAAGTGGAATCACAAGATCATTAATTAACTTTTTTTTTTGTGAGGCACTTGGTGTTAAATGACTTGCCCAGGGTCACACAGATAGTATGTGTCATGTGTCTGAGGCCAGATTTGAATTCAGGTCTTCCTGACTCCAGGGCCAGTGCTGTATCCACTGTACCACCTAGCTGCCCCCATCAATTAACTTCTTAACAAAATACTAAAGTAGACTAATCTGCTGTGGACTCTATCACTGAAAGTGTTTATTTTGGTGGGGATGTTATAGTGTGGTCTTCTGCATGGCATAAAAGGTTCAGCTAGAGCTAGAGCAGCGCTGTCAAGTACAAACAGAACCCTTCAGTGTGTCTGTTGACTTAGAAAACCACAAATGACATTATCTGTGTTGCCTTGTACTTTGTTTTGTTAAACATTTCCCAATTACATTTTAATCTGGTTCTGGGACACTTGGGAGTTTTGCTGGCACTTGTGGCCTGTGGTCCTGGAGTTTGACACCTCCCTAGATGACCTCCCTTCCAGTTCTTATCCCTCTCCTTTCCCCTTAGGCTAGATGGATTCATGTCCCTTTTCAAAAGTCACAGATTTTCTCACTGCCAATTTTAGCTAACAAGTTTCTTCTCTACCCTACCCCTCCACCCCAAGCTTTCTTCCCCATTTCCCTTATTCCCCAAGCAGATAAGCTTTCTCTATTTTCAGTACCCTTTCCTTTAAAGGGCTTTTCACCCCCTTAAGGCTGGGGTGGGCCTAGCTTTTTATTGAAGCACTACGCTCAGAGAAGAGACTAGTGGCATATGAGAAGAGGCAGGAGGATTATGGGAAACAGGGTGGGAAGAGGCTCCTGTCTCCCTTACTGCCACCAAGGAAAGATAGGGCTGAGTAAGAGGAGGCCCTGAAGAATCAGGGTGTGGATCACAGTTCTGATCCTGCCTTTGCTGCCTGGGAGACCTGGGAAGGGTTGGGGAGTATTAGGTCAGTCCAGGAAAGAAACTTGTAGAGATGTCTGTGATATGTGGTCCTATTCCATGTTTGTGTCCCTTCCTTTGGGAAGAGTAGTCTCTGGCTACTGTCCTCCTGGGGTTCTATACCTAAATAAATCATTCTTTCCTGTCCCATCTTTTAACCAAAGCCCCAACCTGGCTTGCCCATGGCCTTGGCACTGTTGGCATGGCTTATAGGTGGTTGCATGCATGTGTGCATATGTGTTCTTACATGCATGCCTACAACAATACATACGTAATATCAATACCAAAAGCCATGTGTTCCCATTGATACCTACATGCATGTTCGTGTCATGTGTTTTATCTGTAGAAACTGTCATATTGTGTGCCTATCCAAGCCATGAGCTCACCTCCATGATGTTTTGTGTCCACATATATATCTACATTTGTGTGTTAGTATTGTCGGTCTGTCTTGTTTCCCCTTTAGACGGAAAGCACAGTGCCTTGTGCCACCGGGCTCTCAGTGGATATGGCTGATGTGACGGTTGGTGAGATTGGCCTCTTGAAAATGGGGGCAGGGAGCTCAATCTTGGTGCCAGCTCCTGCTTCAGGGAATCCTTCCTCAAGGAAGCAGAAGATGGGACAGCTAGGGGAGCATCCAGGGTGTGGCCCGAGGGGCTGCTGGAGCTGTCAGGGCTCAGGGAAAGGGTACCACTTACTCTGAGGAAGACCAAGGGAGGCAGCCTGCAGGGAGGGCTGGAAAGAGTTCTGGTCTGGGAGTCAGGAGTCCCCGTTCTACTCACATATCTGGCACTAACTCAATGTGTGTGTGAGGTATCTGACAAATTACTTCTCACTGGGCCTTGGTTTTCTTACATGTAAAATGTGTGTGTGTGTGTGTGTGTGTGTGTGTGTGTGTGTGTGTGCGCGCGCGCATTGGTGTGGGGGAAGGAGTTGGACAAAGTGACCTCTAAGATCCCTTCTGATTTGAAAATTTTTTCTTAGGAGTCAAAAGTCCTGGGCTCTAGTCCTTGTTCTTGACTCACTATATCATATCATTTAATCTAAGCCTCAGTTTCCCACATCTATAAAATGGGGAGAGTTGGATTAGATAACCTCTGAGGTTCTTTCCAGCTCTGTTACTCTAGAATTATAAGGTCGGGGGAAAGGGAACAGTCCCAAAGGAGGATTGTCTTTAAATACGTTTCCCAGGCTGAGGCAGCAGGGGCCTCCTCCGCCCAGGGCATGCTCAGCCCTAGGGTAAGCCAGGGGCCCTGTCCAAGGCCTGAAGGGGTGAGAGGAGGTGAGGCAGCCATGCCGGGCAGTGGCCCCAGCGAGAGGATGACCTGGCCAGGGCCGGCCCTTCCCCCGGCCGTCCCAACCCGCCCTTTCTCCTCAGCCGCGGCACCCATCCTACCCCTCACCAGGACCCGCAGCCTCATGGCCATGTCCCTGCCTGGGAGCAGAAGGCCCTCCACTGGATCTCGCAGGTAAGTTACCCTTTCCTCCCTATGCCCTGCAGACTTGGGGGCTGAGAGGGAGGGCCTTGTATGAATCTTTACCAGTGCTGGCCGCTGGTCTCTGTCTCTCTTTTGTCTTTCTCTGTCTCTGTCTTTTGCCCCCTGTTTCTGACTCTCCCTCCCTCTCTCTATATCTCCCCATCTCTGTGTCTCTACGGTTTCTGCCTTCTGTCTCCTTCCTTCATTCTCTGCCCCTCTGTTTCCCTTCCTCCCTTTCCCTCTGTCTCTCCTGTTTGTTTTCTACCTCTTGATCTCTCCTTCCCCATCTCTCCCTCACTGACTCTGTTTGTTTCTCTCTCTGTCTCTCTCCTTCTGTCTCCCCCTCATCTCTCCTTTTCTGTTTCCCTTCCCTCCCTTTCTCTTCCCTGCCCCACTGTCTGTGTTTCTTTCCTTCTTTCTGTCTCCTGTCTCCATCTTTATCCTATATCTGTCTTTCTTGTCTGTCTCCTTCCCCTCTTTCTCTCCTGCTGCCCTCCCTCTTTGTCTTTCTCTCTCTGTTTCTCTCCCTCTCTTTTTTCTCTTTCTGTTTTACCCTCCCCGCCGAAAGCTAGAGTGAATGTTGGCCTGGTGATCACATCTGGTTCCTCTGGATTACAAAATGCAGAGTGTCTAGAAGGGGTCCTTGGAGATCCCCATGCTGAAAGAGAGCAGGCCTGACTAAGGCGATCTGAGTTCGAGTCCTAGCTCTGCACTGCATTCACTATGTGACCTTGGATGGCACATCCTCTCTCTGGGTCTTAATTTTCCCCATCTGTGAAATGGAGGAGTTGGATTAAATGTTGATGATAATAATAGTAATAACTGCTATTTATATGACACTGAAGGGCTGAGAGAATGCCTTACATACACTATTTCAATCTATCCTCACAATTCTGTTGGGTTGATAGTATGAGTATCATTAATATTCCCATCTTACAGAAGGGGAACTAGAGGCCCCAAAAAAATAGACCTTTGAACAATGTCATGTGGATAAATGAAATATTGGATGTGAAAATGCTTTGAAATGTCTAAAGCAGCACATAGCTGTGAGGGATGCATTGTCACTGAAGGGGCGTCCTGTCTTTGGCTTATAATAACTAGGACCCCATAGATGTATTATCTCCTTATGTCCTTTCCCACACCACACACATGCACACGTGCTCACGTGCGTGCACACACACACATGCAAGCACGCACACACACACACACACACACACCACACACCCTTATTTATGTTTTCTTCTTCCTCTTTTTTCTGCTTCCCTTATCATAGGAATCTCTTACTGGTCTCTTGGCCTTCTTAGAGAGCTCTTTTCTCAGCTCTGCGGGGACATTGGATGTTAGGGACCATTCTTAGCAGTGACTTTGAGCAGAATACCACTCAATTACGCTGGAGGCAGGTTTTCTTGCTCTGCCATTTGTTGGCTGTGTGACCTTGGGCATGTCACTTCTCTCTGAGCCAGTTTCCCCATCGGAGAAATGAGAGGGTTGGATTAGATGATCCCTGAGGCTCTTCTAAGCACTGATACACCACAGCCTTTCTCTGTTTCTGTGATGGGAACAAGGTAGGGCTGGCTCTGTGTGAGGAGAAATGGCCTTGGGGGAACTATGAGGCCTGGCCTCCGCTTTGTCTTCCACCTTGACTTCGATTTCCACTGTCTGTTCTGTCACCCCTGTCTATATATCCCCCATGATCGCCCCACAGCCGGGGGCTGTATGGACGAAATGGGCTGGCCGTGTTCTCTCAATGTTCACCATCCTCTGACACCCAGCTCGGGCCTCCACCTCTTCTTCCTGCCTCCAGGCGTACCTCACCCCCTGTCAGCATGCGGGATACCTATGGTACCTCCTCACTCAGCAGCAGCAGCAACTCTGGCTCCTATAAGGGCAGTGACAGCAGCCCCACACCAAGGTAACTGCCCCCACCTCACTGTCCCTTCCTCATCCTGGGCCTTGTCACCCTGGCTGTGGGTAACCTAGCCTTCTCTTCATTCATCTACCACTATGCAGCTGTGTGACCCTGGGCAAGTCCTTTCCTCTCTCTGAGCCTTTATTTCTCTTTCTGTAAAATGCAGATAATAATGCCCTCTCTAGAGAGCTATGGAAGCCCAAATTAAATAATTGTTACACAGTGGAGAGAATTGGGTTCTTAAGAAAAGCAGAGCCCAGAAAACCTGGAACCAGGTGACATGAGGTCCTGGTTTGGGGGGATCATTTAGGGGTGAGTATTGGGTGACCTGGAGAGGCTCATTCTCTTGTGCATCATACACATGGGCCCCTGCCCCTTCCCCTGGTGGGGTTGGAACCCTGGTCCAGGCATGAGAACATGTTATCCATGGACCGTTGGGCACAAGCTTCTTGGCATCCACATACCTACCCTCCCCCATCACCTTGATTGGCATTGAGGTGCTGGGGTCAGGTGCCCATTGCCAGCTGATTCATGTGTACATGTACCTGTAACCTGTGTGTGCATGTGCATCTCAGTATACATGCATACATGTGTGTGAATGGGTAGGTGTGTGTGAGCTATGTGTACATCTCTTTATCTGTGTTTATTTGTGCATGTTTGTGCGTGTGTCTGTATGCATATGATTAGGTACGTGTGCGTGGAGGTATATTCAGGTGAGTTTGTGCACGTGCGTATGTTATGAATTGTGGTGAAGGTGGCCATGATGTGGGAGGAGTCTGATACCACCCACACACTCAGTTCCCTCCTCGGGTTCCACCTCCATGGTAGCACAAGTATCACTGTCCCCATTTACACAAGAGGAAACTGAAGCTCTGAGAGGAGAAGTTATCTTCCCAAAGTCACACAGCTTGTAGATGGGGAGTTATGTCCTCTATAGTGGTGGTGGAGGAGGGGGTAATGATGATGAAGAACTGTGCTTGACCCCCGGGCACAATGGCAGACCCTCCAGAACATCCATCAGCTCTGGAGATAGGGTTGACAAAATGGAGAAGCAGCCAGTGACCCACCACCCCATCTTCCAGGCGTTCGATGAAGTACACCCTGTGTAGCGATAATCATGGCATCAAGCCTCCCACCCCAGAGCAGTACCTGACGCCCCTGCAGCAGAAAGAGGTCTGCATCCGGCACCTGAGGGCTCGGCTCAAAGACACACAGGATCGACTTCAGGACAGGTGAGCAGGTGCCATGAGGCGGGGCCCGAGGCACTGGGGCCTATCTCCTTGCCCACTCTCTTATGGGTGCTAGAAGCAGTAGCGGCCTTTGGGGCCAACAGAAGTATGTGGGGACCCTCTAGGCTTTCACCTCCATTCTTCCATTCATTCATTCATTACTACAAGTAAGCACCTACTCTATGGAGGGCCAGGGCAGAGGAGAGATTAAAAAGAGATGATTAAAACAAGGTCCCTGCCCTTATGGAGATGGATGCAGTGTAGTAGGGGAGAGAAAACATGGACATAGGTGAGTGCAATGCAGATTAGATTTTATAATGCACATTATATGCAAGGTGATGAAGGGGATGTTTAGTCCAGGAACATGATAGCAGCTGCTTCAGCTCTCTAGAGGGCTCTCACAGGATGAAGACTGAATCTACTTGTCCTCAGAGAACAACATAGGAGCAATGGGTGGATTTAGAAAGAGAAAGCTTTTTTGCTCAATGTGAGAAAAGCCATTCTAATCATGAGAGCCATCCAAAGCAATTGCCTTGGGAGGTTAGGGATTCTCCAGCATTGGAGGTCTTCAGAATGGGGGGAGGGAGGAATTTGAGGCAGAGTAGGGAGGGATATTTTAGACTTTAACTCCAGGGATCAGGAAGGCCTTCTTTAGGGAGAAGAAGGAGAATGATTCTGAACCTGGGAATCATTGTGAGCAAAATCAGGAAGCTGAGAAAGTGCAGGGTGCTTTCCAAGGAGGATGTAAGTCTGGTTTGAATGAAGCTTCCATTCTTCCTTATCTCTCCAATCCTAGGAAGCAGATCAAGTGAGCCAAGTTACCCATGCTAGGCAGTGACCAGAGCCTCATTCCCTCCCCCACAATCCTCTAGTCCCTTTCGCTTAGTCCCTCTGGGCACCTAAGCCCCAGTCCCATTTCCCCCTTTTTAAGTTGGATACTGTTATTCTCCCTTCCTTGTGTGATGCCTCTGACTGCCTCTTTTGTCCCCAACCCTCTCTCCACCTCTCTATCTTTTCTTCAAATCACCAAGCGTTTCTGTCTGTGCAGGGGCCTGTGAGTAGAACCAGAGAGTCAGGTGTAAGACTGAGCAGACATAAAGATGGCCAGGAGATGGTGCTGGGGTTTCCTCCCTGGCCTCCTCTGCTTCAGTGGGGAACTTGGGAGGTTTCCACTAACTACCGTTGGATCTTATTCTGTGTCTGTACTATCTCCTCAGTCCTCGCGAGAGCCGGCTTATCTTTACCCTTTATTTCTTTAAAACTCAGTCGTATGATCAGGTCCCAGAGCCATCTTTGACTGGAAGGAACTTTCTAATTATTTGAAGTTTTCTTCTCTGAAGTGTCATGGCTCCATCTGGGGATCTGGTGACTTATTTCTGGGTCCCCTAATGGGACACTGGAAAGAGCATAACCTCTTGAGTCAAAAGACCTGGGTTCAAATCCCAGTTCTGCTCCATACTATCCACATAACATTGAGCAAGGCACTTAACCTTTGAGATTTGGTTTTCTCATCTGTAAAAATGAGACAACTGGATTAAATAATAATAATAATAATGTCACATTTCTATAGCAGCCACTATGTGCCAGGAACTTTACAAATATTACCTTTTATCCTCACAACAATCTTGGGAGGTAGCTTCTGTTGTTATTACCATTTTATAGTTGAAGAAACTGAGGCAAACAGGTAAAGTGACTTGCTTAGGGTCACCCTGCTAATAAGTGTCTATGGCTGGGTTTGAACTCAAGTCTTCCTGACGACAAGCCTAGCACCCTGTACCACCTACCTACCACATGATTAGGTGACCTTAGAGGTTCCTTTCAAGTCTAAATCTGTATTTCTTTGATTCTTCCATTAACACCAACAGCTCGTATGGAAATGGTTCTTTATACTTTATAATCATCATTGTCATCATGGCTAACATTTATATAACACTTAGTATGTGCCAGACACCGTGCTAAGTGCTTTAGAATTACTATTTCATCTGATCCTCACAACACCCTGGGGAGTAGATGCTATCATTATCCTCATTTTACATTTGAAGAAACTGAGGCAAATAGAGGTTGAATGACTTGTCTGGGATCACACAGCTAATAAATGCCTGTGATTGGATTTGAACTCAAGTCTTCCTGACTCCTGGCACCACCAAGCTACCATCTGACTAAGCAGCCTTGGAGGTCCTCTTGGGTCTAAATCTGTATTCCTATGGTTCTTCCAGTAGCAGCAGCAGCAGCTCATTTGGAAATGGTGCTTTATAGTGTATTTTAGGAGTTAAAGCTGGGAAGGACCTTAGAAAATGTCTAGTTCAACTCTTATTTTACAGATGAGGAAGCCGAGGCCCAGAGCAGGGAAATGACTCATCCAAGGTCACACAGCTAATAAGGGACAGGGTTAGCAATTGACCTCAGCCTTTCTGACTCCCAAGTCCAGTGGTCCTTCCATTGTAACACACCACAGTCCTGGCCAAACAATAAATATCAACCTGTAGGCGTCTGGTGCCATACCCCAAAAATGATGGCATCCCAGATTTTGAACAGGCTCAGAGATAAGTAGTGCACAGGTTATTATTATCCCCATTTGCAGATAAGGTAACTGAGGCTTACGATGTGGAAGCAGCTTGTGTCAGAGCTAAGGCAGTCTTCAGCTCAGGACCGAGGTTCCTTCCACTCTTTTTGTGGATGATGTTTGAGGCTCATGTCCTATTCCCTCTTAAACTCGTCTAGTCTCTTCCCTTCTCAAGTACTTTAAAAAAAAAACCTGCGATGGCTAAAGAAGAAAACATAAGACTTTGCCTGTCACCCTCCTCTGTATTCTTTTCTCTTGTCATGAAGAAAAATGCCTAGACTTTTAGGAAGTAATACTAATACCTGATATTTATGTAAAGCTTTGCAAAGTGCCATGCATATCTCATTTAAGCCTCACAGCAACCCTGTGATGCAGGCATTACGTACATTATTACCCCCATTTTACAGATGAGGAAACTAAGGCTCAGAAGTTAAGTGATTTGCCCAAGATCACACAGCTAGTAAGTGTTGGAGGCAAGATCTGAACCCAGGTCTCCCTGACTCCAAGTTCAGTACTCTATTCACTATGCCATGCTAATTAGAGCAAATAACTTTCCACTCTATTTTTAAGAATTCAATTCAACAGGCATTATTAAGTGCTTACCATATACAAGGAACCAACTAATTAGTGGGGATGCTGAGACAAAAACAAAAGTCTTTACCCCCAGGGAGCTTGAACTTACTGGGCATGCTATGAAGTAAGTTAAGAAATAATTTCAGGATGGGGAGAGTCGTCAGTGGTGGGGGCACTCAGCAGAGGCCTTGTGTGGGAGACAGCACCTGAGCTGAGCCTTAAGAGATGCTAAGGATTCTAAGGAGTAATTTTGATGATGGAATAGGGATAGCCTGGGGAAAAAAACCTGGCAATAGGAGATGGACTGCTCTGTTAGGGGAGCCACAAATATGCCAGAGAAGAGAGAGGCCTTCCGCCTGCCAAGAGGTAGGGGTATCGTCCTCTGCCAGTCATGAATTTAGGCATGACTCTCCCGTAGTTGTTCTTTGTACCTCTGCCTATATGCATCGAGGTGACAATAAGGGCTTGAGGGTTGTGCCCATGGAACTCAAACTCTGGGTGGGTCCTCTTGCCTGGAAAGGTTTTGAGTCCAGTCATGGTAATGACAGGATGTCAGTCATGTAAGGCCTAGCCTTGCTAAGTTCAGAGACTCTCACTCCCACAACTAGCCCTAAGGGCTGACCACTGTGACCACAACAGCTCATGATACTGGCCCCTGGGGCGTGGAGGAGTTGTGATCTGCGTATCAGGCACCATGGGAGTGGAAATTATAAACCTTTGGAAGTATGTACCTATGAAAAGAATTCTTTTAAAGTCTGCCTCAGTTAAAAAGGCCCATATCCCTTTCCTCCAAACAGCTTTTTAAAAACCATTTTTAAACAAAAACATATTAAGGTTTTAACACAGACATGTAAAAGTACCTTGAACACAGTAGAAGTTTACAAAGTGTTTGTTTGATTGAGAAACAATTGTATGATGTCATTTCTAAAAGGACTGGAGGGGAAGCATGTTCTTTATGTTCTCAGTTCCCTTGGTCATCTATGACAGAAACTAGGTCTCTTAGGAGATCATCTTCACCTTTTTTCCATTTAGACAAGTGCCCATTTACCCTGACTTTTTGTTTCCTGTCTCTAAGACAGATTCCTGGGTATGATAACAAAGTACCTGTTCCCAATCCCATGAGAATGTTGTGCTTTTTTTTTTTTAATAGCCTTTGTTACTGTTGGGTTTTTGATGACCTGACTGGTTGCTTGGATCTTGGGATCCCAGAAAAAAAAAAGTGTAGATATGGGGTAGGAACACAGCAAATATAAATGTATTGTTAACCCTCCTGCTCAATCCCATTGTTTAATTTGGCACACGTAATATGCCCTGTGTTCCTATTGCCTACATCCAGACCCATCTATCACATCATCTTCATGCTGTAGTCTGAGAACGTCCTTGATGGATGTAGGTCAGTCTGCTAGATAAACATTTCCCAAACCATTTCCCATGGAGCCCTCATGGTGGTGTGTGCCATTTGGATAAGGATTCTCTAAGATACTTTTGATGACAGCAAAGGCTGGTGGGAGTTAGGAATAGGACCCGCTCAGGCATGAAAAGTTAGCAGCGTCAGCCATGGGGCAGCATTTCTGGTTTCAGGTTTCCCTTGTTTGGCCCAATGAGCAAGAGGGGCCCTTTAGTGTACCTCAGTTACATCTCCACCCACCTTGTACCTCAGCCCCATCCTTTCCTTCTTGACACTGGCTCCCAATCCCCATGCCCATTACACATACCTTCCAGTGTCCTCTTCACCCTCCATTTCTGACACACATCATGGACTCCAACATCCTATGTCTGGCAAACAAACACCACCAACTTCTTCTAAACAGTGCCCTCTACTCTTTTTCTTACACTTCCTAATTTTCCCAATCCCTCTTTACGCCAGGAGCATTCCAATCCTCAGGCTACCCAGCCCAGCATTTTTCAGTCTCTCAATATATTAGGCTCCAAAATATCCTTTGGCCCAATAAGTTTGGGAAATACTGGAATAGGGAATTTCTGAGCAAATTCATGAACAAAGGCATGGGGGTAGTAAGATGCAGGCCGTGTTCAAGTAGCAAAGAGTAAGTAATATAGTTTGAAAGGAATATGGAGTGTGTGGAGAAGAATAATGTGAAATTAGGCTAGACAAGTAGGTTGAAGTCAGATTGTAGGGGGTCATTGAACATCAGGCAAAGAAATCCAAAGTTTACTCAGTTGGCAGAAATGAGCCACTGATGATTTTTGAGCAGAGGAGTGATGTGACTAGATCAGTATATAAGACTATTCTGACAGTGGTGTAAAGGATAGATTGAAGGGGGGAGACAGTAGAAGCAGGAAGATCTGCCTCCTTAGGAAGTTGGTGTTAATGAGGAGCCAAACCAGGGTGGTAACTATGGGAATAGTCATGGAGACTTGGCTCCAGGACCTGAGGATGGCTTGGAGAAGTTCTTCTGGAAGTAGAATTGACAGGAAGAGAAGGGAAGTAGAGCAGGTGATGGGGATGGATTAGGTAAGAGACAGAAGGAGGAGGGAAAAGTCAAAAGATAAAAGAGAAAGTTAAGAACATGAGAGTTTAAGTAAACGATGGGGCCATAGACAGAAGTTGATCCAGAAGGTCAAACATATTTCAGGGAAAAGATAATAAATAAAAGTTCTGTCTTTAAGTAGGGAGGATTTCTGCAGCCTGAACACTATTCTTGGCCTGGAAAAGATAAGTAGGAACTCCAGAAAGATTTCCTCGATTCTGTCCAAGTTATTAGCAACCAAAAAAAGCTACTGTCCCCCTACCCCCAAACCTTTAATCAGTCAAGAGCCCTGCTTGGGCCTTTATTACCTTTTCTGGATCTAGATCCATGGCCAAGTTCAGGTGGGGTGAGTATGTCACCCTTCTCCTTCCCCCACTCCCCAATGTGCCTACAGGGATTCAGAGATCGATGACCTGAAGACTCAGCTGTCTCGTATGCAAGAGGATTGGATTGAGGAAGAATGCCACCGGGTGGAGGCCCAGCTGGCTCTCAAGGAGGCCCGTAAGGAGATCCGGCAGCTCAAGCAGGTGATTGACACAGTCAAGAACAACCTCATAGACAAAGACAAGGGGCTGCAGAAGTACTTTGTTGACATTAACATCCAGAACAAGAAGTTGGAGACCTTGTTGCATAGCATGGAGGTGGCCCAGAATGGGACCGTCAAAGAGGATGGGGCTGGGGGGTCCTCAGGGGGCTCTCCTGCCCGATCCCTAACCCGAAGCTCCACCTACACCAAACTGAGTGACCAGGCCCCTGGAGATCGCAATGCTGACCTTCAGAGTGCGTCCACGGAAGAGGTGGGGGACAGTGGCTTTGCAGCTGCTGATGACACTCTGAGCCGGACGGAACTGTTGGAGGCAAGCAGCCTGCTCTCTTCCGGGGTGGACTGTGGCCCGGATGAAGGCTCCCTGCAGAGTTCCTTCACCTTGGGCTCCCGACTTCCAACCAGCTCCACCTATGAGAAGCTGCTGGGAGGCAGCGGTGGGGGTGTGGAGGCTGGCGTACAGGCCAGCTGCATGCAAGAGCGGGCCATCCAGACAGACTTCGTGCACTACCAGCCTGACCTGGACACTATCCTGGAGAAAGTGATGAAGTCACAGGCCTGTGGGCTGGCCAGCCCTGACCCTAGCCCAGCCTGGGCCCCAGCCCCAGATGTGGAGGACGGAGGGGCTGGCATAGAAATGTCCTCAGGCTTCCCAGGGCCCATGGACCTGATACCAGCTGACCCTAATTCAGCGGTGGTGGTGACAGTAGGAGAGGAGCCCGTGATGGCTCCAGTGACCCAAGGGCCTTCCCCACATGTGCCCAGTCTCAACCCATCGGTGAGCATCGCCTGCCCTGTGGACGAAGAGGCTGGCGAGGTAGCACCCGAGCCTAAAAGCTACTGGAGCCGCCACTTCATTGTGGATCTCCTGGCAGTGGTGGTGCCCGCGGTGCCAACAGTGGCCTGGCTGTGCCGGTCCCAGCGGCGCCAAGGCCAGCCCATATACAATATCAGCTCCCTGCTTCGGGGATGCTGCACTGTGGCCTTGCACTCCATCCGCAAGATTAGTTGCCGTTCCGTGAGCACTTCGGGGCCTGTGGGTACTGGGGGCAGCTCCCAGCTGTGACTGGCCGCCCACCCCCGGGAACCAGGCACGTCCTGGTCTGACCACTGATTGTAGGTCTTTCTCTTTCCCCCTCTCTCACACACACACACTCACACTCACATGTGCACGGAGTGTCATCATCTTAATTTATTTAGCTTTTCCAAAATAGGGAGGCCATAGTCTGGGCAGGCCAGGATAGCCTGGGGATGTCTGAAGTTCTACAGGTGACTGCTACTCTGGCCTCTCTGGGGGTGCCACTTCTATGGCATAGGGTAAGAGGGGGATGAGATAGATCTGACTTAAGCTGGGATATTGCCAACTTCTGTCATTAGAAGGAAGATTCCCATTGAAAGAAGAGGGCAAAGGACTTCAGCTTCTGTTTTCCTTTCCATAATGCTTGCCTCTGTCTGCCATCCCAACTGCTCCTGTCCAGTCGACATTCTCCCTACGCAGTTCTGCATTTGTTTTTTTGAGTAAGCTGGCTGGTCCTTGATGTTCATGGGACTACCTTCTTAGTCCTTTCTCCCTTGACCGTTAGGTCAGTATTATTGCTTCCAGTGGAGGAAATGACTCGCCCAAGGTAACATGGCATAGGGATTGGAATTGCTGGAGAATGGGAACACATGGCTTTTATCTCTTTGCCTTCATAGGCAACCCAGGCTGGTTCTGGGAATGAATGGTGGGGGGAAAGGGAAGTAATGACTGAAACTGCCCTGACATTTCTGATCACTGGGTGGGTGGGTGCAGAGCCAGGAAAAGAGGAAGGAGAGAAATAAATGGGGGAGGGTCAGCAGAAGGAAATGTGGGGCCTGGCTGGCTTTCCCGGATGCACCCCTCTTGCGTTGATTGGTAGGTTGGCTCACTGAACCTGTTCTCAGCCTTGAGGATGGGAGGCGGCTCCCCCAGGGCCCAGGTCACCATGGGAACAAATTACCGCTCCATCTAACTAATGTCCTGAACCCCTTTCTACCTTGCCCTAATGCTTCTGCAAATTAGAATGGGCAACGTTGAGATTGTCCTTCTGAGTATGCAGCTGCTCCTGGGAGATCTAGCGGACGCTTTCCATCTCACAAGCTGTATTGAAAGGTGCTGAGGGGTCCCCACAGGAATTGAGAAGCCAGTGGCACCCCCAAGCCATTCTGAAATCATTTTGCACTATGTCCCCTTTGTAATAACAATATTTTCTCAGGGGAGGTGGTTGGATCAAGCTTCACCAAGATGCCAGGCCCATGGAGGGAGGGAGAGAGGGACTTGCCATTAGCTGGCTCTCTTCCTTCTGGAGGTTGGCGGGGGGGGGGCGAGGTGGAAGCTTGTATCCTAGGATGGCCAAATCCCAGTGTGTCTGGATCTAAGGGAGAGGAGAGGTGGAAGAGAAGGGCCCCAACCCATGCCTTTATGCCTCTGGCTGAAAATTCCTCAGTGCAGTAAGCCAGGGGTTAGGATAAAGAAGCCATGTTTTACCAGCCACCCCTGCACGGAGCATGTGGATGGAGAACTTGCTGAGGGGTAGGGTGGAGTGAGCGCAAACGTGCTCACCAGCCAGATCCTGCTGCATCTCCCTCACACTCATACATGTGTACACACATACACTTACAAATGCACACATACACATGCTCCAGGTAGGGACCAGAGTCACCAACACCTCCCTATCTCTGAGCACCAGCTTCTTCAGTGAAGCAGCTGACACTGTTTTTCTTTTAAAAACAACCCACTCGTGTTCAGTCTCATAATTGATTTTGTCTCCCAGCCCAGAACGCTTGGAACACCTCTGAGGGGTTAGGAAAGGTCCCCTTGATGCTCTATCCTATAGGCCTGTAATTTTCTTTTTTAAGACCTGAAGCCTAGTCTTTGAGGACTAGGTCCCTGCACACGGCTTGGGCTGTTCGGCAGCTTGAATCTGTTCACCACCTTTGCTTGAAATGGCTTCTCACGTGCCCGTCCATGCTCTGTCTCCTCAGACTGGAAAGCTTCCTTCCGCATGTGCAGGGGGATCGGTCCCACTCTCCCCCAGCTTAGCTGTGTGCCTCCCCAATCCACAGAGGCAGGCGGGCATTTCTACCCATCGATCCTTTCTAGTGGACCCCCTCTGCAGAGGCCCAAACCTGAGGGTTAGCATCTGGGTCAAGATTACCTGGGAAGTGGCGGGGAGGGAGGCCTCCCTTTGCACACTGGAATGGGATGTGTCTGCAATCTGGTGATGAGGGGCCTGTTGAAACCTGATCTCAAGTGCAAAGGCCACTGGTTCTAGGATCTAAGCCTCATGTGCAATGTATTTGTGGATCTGTGTAAGCATCTCATTAGACTATCCAAAGCTTTGCTGAGAAAATAAATGTATGATTATATTTGAAAAGAGAAAATCGATATATTTTTCAAAACCAGAACTTCACTGAGCTATAGGGGCTCAGCTACTGTCTCTTGCTGTCCTGTAACTCCTTGATCCCATCCACAGGCTGTTGTAAATGATAAGGGTCCAACCTGATCTTTTGCTGCCAAATCAACCCTATTCCTTCCTCGCTATAGGACTCTGACCTAGGAAGGCCCCAGCCTCTGGTGTTACCTTTGCATGGATGTGCCCTGCATCTGGGGATGTACTTGCTCTTAGCCACCACAGAGAGAGCCCTGTGGATGTAACAGCTTGGGCAAATTCAGATTTGTGGGAACTCTGTGAAAGCCCATGGAGATTCCTATCCCCTGAGATGTGTCTTTTCAGTGGAAATTCCACAGGAAAGCTTTGATGTTTTTGGTCAAGACGTTTTTTTAGGGGAATCTCCCTGATCCTGAGGGATCTGTGTGCCATGTGATGGCGACCAAGGTTGGTGTCACCATGTGCATTGCAGGCAGGTTGCAAGGTGACAAAGAAGGTGGGTAGCCCCTTTACAATCAACATTTATGCTGGGCATCAGAATGGGACTGAATTTTATGCCTATAAAACCAGAAGCTGCTGACCCAATCTCCCTGTCCCTAGTCTGGGATCATCTCAGCTCCCCAGAGAGGTAGCTGGGGGACCCAGGCACTTCCCACAGAACTAAGGGATGATAATTGACTGAATCTGTCAGGGTCAGTGGGACCCTTTGCTAGCTCATCAGGAGGCAGGGACCCCCCCATCCCCTAAAATGCACACACTTGCTTGTTTGTTGTGTGCCTATGTGTTTGTGAAGTGTAACCTAAGACTATGCAATGAGTTCAGTGCTGTCTGCCCTGGGGTGGGAATAGGGCAAAGAGAGTTTCCTCATCCATGAAGTCACCTGCTCAGGGCTCAAGGCAGGTGGATCAGTGATTGTTGCAGACCCCAGGCATCATCTGGAGCCCTCTGTTCTGACTATGCAAGGGGCACTGAGGGGCCTGGAAGGTGGTGCTCCACTTTCCAGGGGGATGGGAAGATTGGGGCTCAAATGGCTCCATGCCCTGCCTCCACCCCAGAAACTGTTGGTTTGTATTAAGCTCCCTTCCCACCCTTTTACTTCCCATGCCATAAGCTTTTAAGTGTCATTCTGGGTTGAGCCCTGGAAGTTTGAGAGGCTCCAGGCCTGCTGAGAGACTTAAAAGAAGGCTCACCCCAGCTTAGACAGAGAGCAGAGTAATACCCCTCAGCCCCACCCTACTCCATAACTCAGGATCTTCTCTCCCACCCCCACCCCCAAACCTCTTCTAGCAGCCCTTGGCTCCCCAGTTAGCTGCCTGCAGTGGGCAGTCTGTCTCAGGAGCTGAGCCTGGCTGTAGCAGGAGCAACCCCAGCTCCCCCATGATCAGAATCCAGCTCTAGGCTGCTGTCCTGGGTCTCATCTTTGCTATTACCCAAACCCGGTAAGTTAGAGCCTCCTGCCATCTTGACCTGCATCTGTGGTTGCTTGTTTTGCTTACAAAGATCTTGGGGCCTCAAAAGTGGAATTTAAGACAATGGCTCCTAAGGGGATAACTTAGCTCTTCACTAGAATGCTCTTGCCTCCCGACTGCATACCCTGGCATCTCATCATATTGGTCAGAGGGTGTGGATTGGCTTTCTCTGCAACAACTCCCTGGCTCCCTTTTCATCTGCCTACCCAGGGAAGGAAATCAGAGCTGTGGGAGACAAGAATTCCTGGAAGGTAAACCAAGGGTGTGTCTAAGTACAAGGGCTATACCAGTGTGTGTGTGTGGGGGGGAAGTGGGAAATTTTTTTTGGAGGGGAAGATGGTTGTTGATAGGAAGCAAGGTGGTCAGTATGAGGCCTCTCCTGTCTCATCTCCTTTATCTCTGGTCTTTCATTCATGTGGTTGGAACTGCAGCTGAACCAAGCAGTTCTGTATTAAAGCATGAAAGCCACACCCCCAGTGTCCTGCTCTCTATATTGCGCCTCTGAAGGTGGGAGGGAGGGAGGAAGGGAGATGCTAGGCCTACTTTAGTGTCCTAAACGAGGGGATCAATGAGGGATGGACTAGAAACAGCACTGAATTTGGAGTCAGAAGGACTGAGGCTAGAATCGGAATGATGCTACTTGTGACCCGTGTAATTTTGGACAAATTAGTTCCCTTCATATAGGCCTCAGTTTCCTCATCTGAAATACAAGGGGCTTGGTACCTTGGTACAAAGTAGATTCCATGTCTAAGCCCTGTGAAGATTAAATACCTTTTTAAAAAATCTGATCCAGAGACATAGGATGAAAGCCTTCCCCATGGAAAGCAGAGTTTTCTGCCAACTCCAGCACTATTCAAACACAAACGCCTGGCCATGGCTACTCTCTGGCAGTTAATGGAAGTGGAGAGGATGCATTGGAGAAAAAAATATTAGTTTTAAAAAGTGGCTATTTTCATGAATTAATGCATGAATAATCATTTATTCAACACTTACCAGATACTGTGCTAAGAAATAAGGACTCAAATTTAAAAAGCATGGCAGTCCCTTATATTCTAATGGGGAAAGAAGACATTTGGGGACGTGGCTACGGAGGGCTCTTGGTCTGGGAAGTCACAGGGATGAAGAATGGAGCCATAGAGAAAGACTGACTCGTCCTTTCTGGGATTGTTCCCGGAGCTGGAGATGGAAAGCTAAGGGGATGGAGTATGAGAAAGCTGCAGAGCAAGATAGTGGGTCTAGGCTGATATTGGAAAACCCTCACCCACCAGGAGCCCCTCAGAACAACTGTCTCATCATCTGTTCTCTGGAAGCAAGATTCATCATTGAAGTTCCAAATTTGGCTGCTTTTTTTAAAGTGTTGTTTTTATCAATCATGTTGGAATCTACTTAATATTCTCTTTGCTCATCATAATGGGGTACGCTTTATTTCCAAATCATTTTCAATCAATCAATAAACCTAGCAGGTGCTTAATAAATGTTGATTGATTGATTGATTGATCAATTGTTCATCATTATGGGGCTCACTTTACTTAAATTTTTTTTAAGTTCTATTGCAAAGATGGCAAAGAGCTAAGAGAGAAAACTGAGCTCTGTCCGATTCATTCCCTTTTGAGGGTCAACTCTTCAAACTGACCTGAGAGCAATTTTAATAATGACAACCAGCTATTTCTCCCTAGGTCCTATTAAAATCAGCTGCCACAAAATCCTGAAGTGAGGAGTAAAGGGGGGGTGAGGGCGGGGCAGCAGAATTGAGTACCCTGTGGCATTAACTCCCTTAAGCTCTAATTTGCCTGATTGTGTCACAGTATTTATAAATTTGGTGCTAAGTAATGAGGGCTGGGAGCAGATGGCCTCTGAGACCCATTTTAGCACTCCCTCTGCTTTGATCCTAAGCCCTCCTGCAATACTACTTCACCAGGTTTTTTGCAAAGAAATGTGAAATGGGTTTATGTCCATACTCATTTCTTCTCTGCTTGATGCCTGAAGCCTAAGGAGACTATATGAGTGTTAGTATTTGCCAGAATTCATTCTTTCAGGCATATAGACATGAAGATTTTACTGTGGGTTTGCTCCAGGTTCTATTTTCTTCCCTAACCCCTTGGCATGCATAGGTCCTTCCAGGATCCTGTTTTCCCAACCTGCAGTGGGATTAAAGATCTCCTCTCAGCCAGCTAGAAGAAAAAGAAATCAGTATGGAATGCTGCTCATTCCCACCCCCTCCCCTGAAATGGCAGAAATGGCCCCCTGAAAGGGTTGAGGGGGCCCCTAGAGGAATGTGAACTGTGCTCCCATCCCATCCTTGGAAATGTCAGAGGGTCCCCCTGTGGAAGGACAGGAAGGAGGGCCTGGAGCTGCAGGCTTCCCAGGTCCTTGGCTTCAGATATCAGGAATAGAATGATCCATGGAAGTATGCAGCAGGGTCGGAGAAAGCCTGGGAACAATGAAAGACAGCAGGGATTGCAAAAAGCTTTCCTCAGAGAACCTTTCATGATACGAATGTGGCTCTGCATTTGCTTTAATACTTCTGAAGCTTTCGTGTGTCCTGGCATTTCCTCCCAGCTCCCTTTGGAAGATGGACAGGCAAGTGATAGGATCACCGCCACCCCTTGGGCTTACAGATTAGACACTGGTGGTGCCCAACTATGACATCACAGAAGTCCTACGTTTTCTTCTTCTGATAACAAACAGCCATGGAATGTCAAAGTTGGAAGGGACCTTAGAGATCACTGACTTTAACCTCTTTATCTTACAGATGTGGAAACTGAGGCTAAAATAAGCAACTCGTGAGTGGCACATCTGGAACTTAGCCCCACATCTCCTCCCTCCCAAACCAGGGAACTCTTCCTACTCTATCAGATTGCCTCTTATCTCCACCTAGCCCTTCTTCATCATCAATAAAGACAGCCTGCATTCTGTTACCTTACCACCTTGCTTTAACCTAGGAGGCAAGATTGGTCAGTAAAAACAAGCCCTGTCATAGGAGGCAGGAGACTTGGGTTCATGTCCTGTCTCTGCCCCCAATTGTGGATGGTCTTCAAGAAGTTACTCCCTAAAGTTCTATATTCTAAAGATGCCTCCCAACACTGACCTTTGATTGGATGCTGAAGAATTCTCCATAGCTATTAGGTAGGGTGAAGAAAGGAGTGGAGGGGAGAAAAGGTCTCCTTACTTTTTAATCATGTGCTCATAAATCACTGTGGGGATGATGGTGAGGGTGATTACATTTCCAGCTGTGGCCAGGATATCCATAATCTCTTTGCCCTAGAGCCAAGGGGGGGGGAGAAGAAAACGAAAAGTGAAAAACAATGACATTAGGATACTGGTAGGGGCAGCTAGGTGGCACAGAGGATAGAGTGCTAGGCTTGGAATCAGGAAGACTCATCTTCATGAGTTCAAATGTGACCTCCGGCACTTACTGCCTGTGTTACCCTGGGCAAGGCATTTAACCCTGGTTGCCTCAATTTCCTCACCTGTAAAATGAGCTGGAGAAGTAAATGGCAAACCACTCCAGTACCTCTGCCAAGAAAACTCCAAAAGAGTCAGATACAACTGATATTACTGAACAACAACAGATGCTTCTAACCAGGCTGCTGATTCCACTGCTAGAGTTATACAAAGATACACAAGATACTGTAGGGGCACACAAAACATGGTGGCATTGGTTGTAACTGACCTCAGATCATATAGTACATTAGAAATCAGTGGTGGGGACAGCTACGTGGTGCAGTGGATAGAGCACCGGCCCAGGATTCAGGAGACCTGAGTGCAAATCTGGCCTCAGACACTTGACACATAGCTAGTAGCTATGTGACCCTGGGAAAGTCACTTCACCCCATTGCCTCACAAAAAAAAAAAAGAAGAAGAAGAAGAAGAAAAAAAGAAATCAGTGGCCCCTACTTCCAGAATGCTAGCCTCAGAGTCTCATCCCCAAATCCCAGGTCTCCTACAGGGCCTGAGAAGTTTTGCAAAGACAATATTTCCTTACCTTTCTGTCTCTCTCCACCTTTCTAACCCCCAAATGTAGAGAAGAAACTGAAGTAAATGAAGACTTCACACTGTCTGGATCTCATATACAGCCTGCCAAAGTAACTAGGGCTCATGTGGGCTTGTCTCAACTCTACCCAACTGACTAGAATCAAGTCAAGGTCGGGAGTGGGAAAAGTGTGGACAGAGAGAGGAAGGCACACTGAGAAAACGAGTGCATCTTAGCTCTTGCAATTCAACAAGCAATTATTATGACATTACTGTGTGGGAAACACTGGGTAAGGGCTGAGGGAGGTAAAAAGTTTAGAATACATGTTGTCTTGAAACCCATCATTCGTTGGTTGGACAGGTACAGGTACCACAAATAAAAACCATATCTGCCCCAAGGAAAAGCGCCCCCTCCTCGGCCTACCCTAAACAAATCCACCCAACCTTGCTTGCTAAATCTCATGGGTTTTATTCACATGAAAGTCCCCCCAGACCCTGACTCAGAACTTATTTTTGTTTTATACACAATTCTAACAAGCTTGGGTATCTGGTTTCCCAGACTACAACACGTAAGGAGCAGCCAATAAAAAAATTAGAAGAGGGGGTGGAAAAAATGTTGTTTGCTATAGGCAAACACATACTGTCTTCAAGAAGTGACAGCCTGATAGTGAAGGAGACAGGGAAAAAATATGAAAATATGGTCTCAAGAAGTCTAGTAGCTGGAGGCAAATGAGTGCAGAGGCAAAGAAGTCCCTATATCTCAGTAATCCCCTACGACTCCTGGGTCACAGGCCAGCATAGTAACTTCTGCTTATAATAATCACTCTGAGCCTCCAGGAAAAAAAAAATAAAGGTTAAGTGTTTTAACTCACTCCAACAAAATTCATTTAGCACCTGCTATACATAAGACTCTGCTCTAAGCCTTGAATGGGGACTAAGCAGAGGAATGTTTAAGACAGAGAGTACGCTTCTCTGGAGAAAATGAAAGTTCCCTAAGGGAAGCGATGGTTTGGTTTTGTCTTTGTGTCCCCAGCAATCAGACAGTGTTTGGTACATAGGTGCTTCAAGAGATGGATTGGTACAGTGATGAGACCTCTGGCCTGGAAGTCAGAAAACCCAGGTTCTAGTCTCAGCTCCACTAGTTATCCAGTGTGTAACTCTGGGTAAGCTACTTCATCTCTCTAGGTCTCCATTTTTCTCCTATATAAAATGGTAATATTGGCACTGCTTACCTCCCAGGGCTGTGGGTAGGGCACCCTGAATACCTTGAGAGGCTAGATAAAAGTGAGATAAAAATAATCATAATAATCATAAAACAGAGGAGTTAAATCAACATGACTCCACAAACCTCCCCAGCCCCAATGTTCTCTGGTTCTAATATGTCAAGTTGTCTTCAAGCCCTGAGATTCTAAGATGTTTTGAGCTCCAACCACACACTTGGCCTCACACCTAGCTCTGGGTCATTTACACTCCAGTCTGAGCCTGGATTTCTAGGCCAGGAGCCTCACTCACATGGACGTTCTGTTACCCTGCTGAAGTTCCTGGAGGGGGTGAAGGGATGTTCTCCCAAAAGTTGGGCAGGATCAAGATGATGACACTCTTGGTTACAAGCAGCCCTAGTCAGTCATTGGGCTGGGCCTACCAGGAGCAAAGAGCCTATTCCAGAGCCCCTGGAATTTGAATCTGATTTTGCTTTTCACTATTGTCTATGGAACTATTTTTTTAAAGGAAGAAATATTAACAAGAAGGAAGGAAGAAGGGAGGGTAGAAGAAAAGAAGAATAGAGAGGGAAAGAAGGAAGGAAAGAAGGTAGAGAAAGGAGAGGAGAAAAAGAGGAGGAAGAGGAAGAGGAAGAAGAAGAAGAAGAAGAAGAAGAAGAAGAAGAAGAAGAAGAAGAAGAAGAAGAAGAAGAAGAAGAAATTTACTGTATTCCAAAGTGATTCAGGAACAGCATTCCCTCTGATTAAAACAGTGACAGCAATACAGAATCTCTCACATTCCAAAAGCACTTTCTGGTTACAGAGGGCTTGCACATCCATTCTCTCATCTGCACCTCACCACAGCCCTGGGGAGGAGGCAGGGGAGGAGTTACTAACATTCCCACCTCCCCTCCACCCCTCACTTTATTTATGTGGTTTGTTTTTACATAACAAACGTATACAGATTACTCCTATTGCCTCTTGTTACAAGGTATCTCTTGTAACAAAGTAAACTAGCAGCCTCATTTGAAAGGGCATGAAACATCTCACATCTGTAGCACTGCCCACCCCATATGTTTTTAATGAACAGAAATCTGTTCTCTCCTTCCCATCCCTCGACCTCCCAGAAAAAGAGAAAAGAAAAAAGGAAATTTCTTGTAGAAAAAAAGGCAAATTTCTTTTAACAAATATGCAGTCAAGCAAAACAAATTTCCTCCCTGTTTGTACACACGTACACATACACACTCATCATGTCTCTGGAATGGATGCCCATGTTTCGTCATGGATCCTCTGGAATCGTGGATGGTCATTGCATGGATCGATCCTAGTTCTGTCAGCTTTCAAAGTTGCTTTGAGACTGCTCTGTCACCATATAAATGGCTCTCCTGGTCCTGCCCAATTCATTCTTCATTAGTTTAGAAAAGTCCTCAAAACTGTTCCTATCTATAATGTTGATGTTACACAGTATAAATGGTTCCTCTGCTTCTGCTCACTTCACCCTTTATCACCCCATTCATACAAGTCTTTCCATTTCTTTTGGAAGTTTCCTCATCTAGTTCCTCATTTCTCATTGCACAATAGTATTCCCTCGCATTCATAGGCCACAACTTATTCAGCCATTCCTGAATTACTGGACATCCTCTTAGTTTCCAGGTTTGTTTGGTGTTTTTGCTACTACAAAAACTGCTCCTATAAATACCCAGAAGAGAGCAAAGAGCTTTATGTACATTCCCTTTTACAAATGAGGAAACTGAGGTCTTGAAAAAGAAGTGACTTGATCAAGTTCACACAACCTATCAATGGCAGACATAGACCTCGAATCCAGGTCTTGTGAGTACCTAGCCAGGGGTGTTTTTTCTTGATACCTCAAGGGAGAAGGCCCCTGACTTACCTTCAGTCCAATGACATTCTGCCCATTCACTTCACAGATATAATGATTGGTGAGGAGCCCATTTCGAGCTGCAGAACTGCCTTTGACAATAGAAATGATTTTCCCCTTCCTCAACACAAAGCCCACAAAGCCGTTGCTGTCTTTGTTCAGGGTGACAGTCCGCTGGAAAGGCCTAGAATGGAGACAGCAGTGAGATGGGATGTCTGGCACCAGAGGGAGCACCTAACTGCGTAGTCTGGGGCTCTGGCCGGCTTACCTGTCCCTCACGATCATGACGATCTTCTCAGCTGAGGCTTTCTTCACCACTTTATGGGCCTTTTCCGAGCTCCACCCCGCACAGTCTTTCCCATTAATTTGCAGAATCTGGTCCCCAAAGCGCAGGCCTACGAGGGAGGCCGGAGTATTGGCCTGAACCAATTGGACAAACAGGCCCTGTGGGAGGAAGACCCACTTGACCTACAGAACTGGGGTTCCATCCAGCCCAAAACATCTGCTGAAACTGGCTCAGGGGTCAGGGCTTGCAGGCGCATAGATTGAGAGAGGAAAGGGCCTTGGATCACCTAGTCCAACCTCCTCCGCATTTTATAGATGAGAAAAGTAAGGCCCAGCACATGTAAAGGCTTGCCCCAAGGTCACAGGGTTTCTGAGTACAGAGCAGGAATCTGAACTTAAATTATTTTACTCTGTATCTATCATTCTCTCTATTTCAAGATGAGGCAAAAGGCAAAACACCTGGGATGTCTTTTGGGTCAGATGCGGGGGAGAGCTAGCAGGGAGTGGCAGGGCCTTATCACTGCCACATATGCCCCAGCCTCTCCCTCACCACACACCCGTATTGCCCCTTTTGGGTCTTTCTTTGCTTTGATCACATGATCAAGATGTCTACAGCTGCAAATGTAATGCTATCCTAGGATGGGCAGTTATGGAGTGAGAGAAATGTCAGCATGGCCCGGGACATAGAAGATTTCAGTTCAAGGCTCCACCATTTAACTGATTCCAGAACAGCCAGCAAGTCACTTCCCTTTCTTTAAGTCCTCAATTTTTTCATATGTAAAATGGGAGTAAAAAATCTCCATCCTGCCTTCTACACAGGAGCATTACAAACCTCAAATGAGATAATGTATATAAAGAACTTTGTAGCCACAAAATAGTGGATGCGTGTGTGTATTGGCTAACATTTATCTAGCACCTCCTCTGTGCTAGGCCCTGCCTTTAAGCACTTTACAAATATTATCTTATTTGATCCTCGCAACTACCTTAGAGGTTAGGTGCTATTATGATCCCCATTTTACAGATGAGGAAAGTGAGACAGACAAAGGTTAAATGACTTTCCCAGAGTCACACAGCTAGTAAGTGTCTGAGGCTGAATTTGGACCCAGGTCTTCCTGACTCTAGGCCTAGCCCTCTATCCACTACACCATCTAGCTTCCCCAAACATCTGTACATGTCACTCTCACACATATCAAATTAAACTCCAAAAATTAGAACTCACATATGTGTGTACATATGCATTATAATCTTGAACAAGAGCCAATTATAATTTTGAACAAGAATCAAAGTACCCGGATTCCTATGACCAGCAGCAAAGTAATACCCAGAGATTTCTAGCTCTGGCCCTATTCATTAAGAGATAGACACAGATGATGCTAGAGTCTTATATTTGGAGTCAAAAGAAACTGTTTTGAATCCCATTGCTACTTACTCCCTCTATTAAGCAAAATGTCCCACCACATCTTTAAAGTGTGTGTATGTGTGTGTGTGTGTGTGTGTGTGTGTGTACTAGATGACCTCTAAGGACCTTCCAAATCGAATTCTCTGATCCCAGGAAAATGAGGAAAGCTCAGTGATAATCTAGGGAGAAGGGGCCAAAATCTCTGGGGACTCCTATACCACCTTAGCAGAAGACCCTGTCATCCTTTCCCCTTTCCCAGAATCTCCCACAGTGATGGCCTAAGCTGGCGGGGAGCTCCGTGAGCCCCCTTTCCCAATACCTTGTCAATGGCTTGCAGACGCAGCCCCATCTTCCCCTTCTCATTCTTGCACAGGTGGATCTCTCGTACGCCTGGCTTGATCTCAGCTCTTCGGATGCCCAAGTTATTTCCAGTCACTGGGGCTACCATCTGACCTTGTACAGTGGGAGTGGCCACTTGCTGTAAGGATTTGTCAAATAATCAGTGTCAGTGTGGGTACCTAGAAGAGACTATTCTCTTCTATTTGCTAATTGTGACGTGGCGGGGATGGAGAGTGGAGAGTAAGCTGTGGTTAAAAGCAGGGGAAAAGATTGCCTTTCTGGGTAAGATAAGGAAATGAAGCTTCTGGGGTCAATCACACTTGGTGGCCCCACTCAAAAGCAAAACATGGGAGACGTAGGCCCAGAAAGTATAAATTCCTCTGAATGGCCACTGGAGGGCAAAACATCCCCATATTCCTGAGAAGCTGCATGCAGGGGCATGTGTGTGTGTGTGTGTGTGTGTTGTGTGTGTGTGTGTGTGTACGTGCGGCGCGCGCGAGCTACATAGCAGGATGGAAGGATGTGACAGGATTATGGGTTTGGAAGCGGAAAGGGCCTTAAAGGCCACAATTTTGTAGGTGAAGAAATCAAGGCATAGAAAGGGTAGGTGATCTTCCCAAGGTCCCATGGTTAGTGTCTAAGGTGGATCAAGTTTAGCCCCAGAGGCTGACAAACCTAATAGAGAAATTTGCAGAGGAAACATCTCCCCTTGCACCAGATGCTAACCTATGTATGGAGTGCACTGAAGCCTGGCCCAAGGTCTGCATAGTCTAGTGGTGACTCCCTTGGAAGTAAGGTCAATTCCAGGCCTTTCTCGAGGCTAAACCGAAACCTCAAGGTCCCAAGAACCAATGAACCTTTGAGTCTGGCTAGCATCCAGGACCAGAAAGGATGCTATTCTTTGAGTCTTCGTCCAGTCTAGGGCCCCGAATCTTAGAAGGAACAAGTCACAGTGTATTCAGAAGATGGAGACCAAGGAGTGAAGGGATTCAAAGTCATGTCAAGTGAGGAAATGTCAAAGGAACTAGAAATATTTTAATTCTAAAGAAGAGAAGAGGGGCAGCTAGGTGGCACAGTGGATAGAGCACCGGCCCTGAAGTCAGGAGTACCTGAGTTCAAATCCAGCCTCAGGCCAAACACTTGACACTTACTAGCTGTGTGGCCTTGGGCAAGTCACTTAACCCCAATTGCCTAAAAAAAAAAAAAGAAGAAGAAGAAGAGAAGACCTAGCAGGACTATGACCATTATCTTTAACTATCCGAAGGGCCATCTTGGGAAAGAAGGATGAGGACTTGTGGCTCCAGAATCTAGAACTAGGATCAACTGGGAAATATTACAGGGAAACAGATTTCAGCTCAATATAACATGAGAAATTGCCTATTGACAGTTAGAGCTATCCTAAAGTGGAATGGGCTACTACAGGAGACAGCAAGCTCCTTCCCCATCACTTGAGGTTTTCCAACAGAAGCGAGACAACCACCCCTTCTCAGGGTTGTTGCAGTAGAGATCCGTGCTCTCAGGTCCAGGTTTAACTATGTTCTGAGGTCTCTCTTGACTCCGAGACTCTAGGATTCTGTGGATTAAAGCTGGGCTGGGACTTTGGAGGTTGCTTTATACCAGGACCTTCCTCTGACCCATCCTAATCATCATTTGGATTTTCTCCTGGTGCTGAGCCCAGATTCCAGAGGTCAGAGGGGACCCTTCCTCTCTGAATGAAGCACTGCCAAAGGGACAGCAGGAGCTAAATAAGAAATACCAGCACCAGGAATGATAAAAGCAAGAAGGAAGGAAAGAAGATGACAGCCAAGAAATGCAGAAGCCCCTCTAGGCCAGGAGCAGGAACTGAAGCAGCAGGGAGGGAGGGAGGGAGCACCTCCATACCCTGTGCTTAGCTGAAATAATCCAGACAAAGATACCCACATTGTCGCTTTCTGGAGTCAGGGACAGGTTGTCTTGGACTTCTTGACTTGAGAGAGAGAGACCCATGTAACTTTCTAATTCAGCCAAATTTGGGTACAGAGCTAAGAGGGGAATAGAAGAGAACAGAAAAACACAATTTACACACACACAGCTGTCCCTAGTGCCAATAGCCTTTGAATCCAACAGGCATATTAATATATTAAGGAATACACACACACGTGCACGCACACACACACACACAATTAAGTTTATATTAAGGAATATTGATATATACATACATATATATACATATATGTATATATATATATATATACATATATGTATATGTATATATATATATATACCCATATACATATAATCACATTTATATTAAGGCATGGTGATATATTTCTATATATTGTTTATCTATTTTATAATATTAAATAATTTTAATTTATTCTATAATTTATATATGATACATAAGTTTTATAATTTAAATTACATAAATAGCTATTTATCTATCTATATCTATTGATCTATCTGGCTAGATCTATAGATAGATAGATAGATAGATAGATAGATAGATAGATAGATAGATAGATAGATAGATAGAAAATGAGCCCAAGGCTGAAAGTCAGGAATCCTAGGTTCCAAGCTGGCCTCTGCTAGTTGACTTCTTAAGTGACTTGGGAAAACTATTTTTCCCTAAGACTCAGTTTCCTCATCTGTGAAATGAGTATGCTGGATTCAAGGGATTTTTAACCTGAAGTCTGTGAACTTTTTATTTTAAATATTTTGATAATTGTGAGTCATTACAATTGGCTTCCTTTATAATCCAAATTTTAAAAAAATTATGCATTTAAGAACATTATTCTGAGAAGGGATCCATAAATTTCCAAACCACCAAAAGAAGTCCGTGATAGAAAAAAGGTTAAGAACTCCTGGTATCTCTAAGACCCTTCCTAGCTCTGACATTGCATATTCCAAGGTTCCTCTCAGCTCTGACATCCCATATTCTAAGTTCTCTCCTAGTTCTAACATTCCGTATTTCAAGGTCTCTCCCAGTTCTGACATTCCATGTTCTGTCAGTTCTCTAGAAGAATTCAATGGGACATACAGCAAGGGAATGGATCCAGCCACAAGATCTCAGCTGAGCATACAGGACTGTGAATAGACCTTGGACAATATCCCTGGGCTCCCAACAAACTGAGAAGTAGAAGGACTAAAAACAAGGAGAGCTATGACCCCAGGAATGAATAAATGATTGAAAAAGCACTTATTAAGTGCCTCCATGAGCATTGTGTCTCTGTGAACTAACCCTGGCACCGATTTATTACCTAAAGGGGCTGAAGCTGACAGAGGTATATGTGGGTATGACTTGGAATCCAAGTCTATCCTATACCTTACACCACACCCCAGCTGGACCATGCATTTACTTTCTCTTACCCATAGACTTATCCTTCCAGCAGCCAGCCAGGTATTTTAGCAATCTAAGGCACCTCCTCCTCCCTCCCTAGAATGAGCTAGCATCCTGGTTCAGTGCTTCTTAAACTGTCAGTCATGACCCTTCGGGTCTGAAGTGGTCACAAGTGAAAAAGTTGAAGAAGCTTTGGACTGTAACTTACTGGGTTGTGAGGATGAGGTTTCCTGGGCTGGGAGGGCCAGCATCTTGGGAATCACAGAAGCCTGAGCCTGCAAAAGACGAGAAACATCAATAAGAAACTCAGTTCTCATGCTCCTGGGTTCCTTCATGTGAAAGGGTCAAAGTGAGCTCCAAGTTGGGGTTCCTTGAATTCCTGAGAAGTTCATATCTAGCCTAGAACCAATGGAGAATGATGGAGTAAGGAAGACCCTAGGAGGCAGCCCTAAAACTGATCTAAGGCCCTTTGAAGGTATGACTAGGTGGCATATGTCTTATTCCAAATCATAAAAGGTCACAAACAAGAAAGGTGATCGAACAGGGAAGGAAATAAAAACCCTATCATCTGAAAGAGTTGAGTGGGATGCATAACTTAGAGACACTTAATAGGGGGATTGGGGAGCTGTCCTAAAAGATTTGAAGGATTGTTGATGAGGAAGAGAGATGAGACTTTTTCTCCTTGGCCTTGGAGGACAAAACTAAGACCAGTGGGAGAAGGGAGGAAGTTGGAGTGGGGCAGGTTTCAGCTCAACATACAGAACTTCCTAACATTAGGAACTATCCAACAATGGAATGAATGAGTTGTCTCAAAAAGAAGTCTTCGAGAAAAACATTAGCTAGCATTTATATACAGTAGCACTCTAAAGTTTCAAAAATATTTTACATGGCTTATCTTGTCTAATCCTCACAACGATCCATCCAAGGAGGTACTGTTGATACCCCATTTTGCAGATGAGAAAAATGAGGCTAGAAAGGTAAAGTGACTTGCCCAGGGACATACAAATAGTGTAAGTTGGCTGAGGCACTATTTGAGCTCAGGGCTTCCTGGCTCCTAGTACAACATCGCTAGTGCCACCTTGCTCCCTCAGAAGCTGAATGACTCCTTGCTTGAGGGTGTTGTAAAGGGGATTCCTGTCTCTTCCAGTTCTAACATTCGCTGGCTCCTTGATCTACTTAGAAGGCATAAAGAAGCAATGATATAATAGAAAGTACTGGCCTCAGAACCGTAAGACCTGGATCTCCATTCCAACTCTGCTGCGTATTTCCTATGTGAGTGTAGGAAAATCACGTCCTTTCTTTAGACCTCAGTTTCCTCAGCCTGTAAAATTAAGACCAGAGATAATCTCTATGGTCCTTTCTAGCTCAAACTCCTATGAATCTAAGAGTTTTAAATGTCCCCTAAAAATGGGATCTTGGGATCTACTCTTCACCCAGTGACATATGAGGGTAGAAGAAAAGATTTAATAACTGAGAAGTATGCCAGACATGGTGATACATGGCTGTAATCCCTGGTAATATAGGGAGGCTGAGCTTGGTGGATTATTTGAGCTTGGGAGCTGGGAGTTCTAAGGGGAGAGAGCTGCATAAGGAGAGGCAAACTAGTCCAGGTCAATCAATTGATAAGCATTTATTAAGTACCTACTATATGCCAGACATTATGCTAAGCACTGAACAGAAGCAGCAGGTCAAAGTTTCCATTCAATAATTGTATAATACTTTTAAACCTTAACATGCTACGTAAATGCTAACCATTAGCTATTAGTGAGATTGGGCTCATAAGTGGCCAGTGCACTTCCATCCTGGGTGAGATAGGAGACTTAGTCTTAAAATAATAAAAATAACTAAGGTCAACCTCACTATAAGATGCCCATGCCCCACCTTTTTCCTCATTTCCTAATATCACCCCTTTGACTGGAGTTTGACCTTTCTGCATCCCCTTGACCCAGCACTGGCACCTGGGATTCTCATGTGTTCCACCCAAGTGCTCCACAGACTTCTTCAGCTTCCTCCCTACACCTCACCCTTTCTTCATTCTTTCTGGGCTCTGCCCGAGGCAGTTTACTAGTTTTGTTGCTACTAAAGGACAGTGTCCAATAACCTCACTAGGAGCCAGGCCCATCCCAGAGCTGGTTGTCACAAGATGTCCAGGGCTTAAGGAAACATTACCTGATAGAATTTGTCTACCTTCAGGTCTTCTAGCGATGGGTATAGGACAGACATGGTGGTGTCCAATGAGTTACCTGTGGAACAATAGTAAATACAACGTGCTATGAGATAAAGCCAGAGAGAAAAGACAAGATTATAGAGCATCGACTAATGGTAAATATGGCCCAAGGCTCTGCTGCATAGAGGCTAGATCTGGAGTAAGGAAGACTTGTGAGTTCAAATCCAGCCTCAGACACTTACAAACTGCATGACACTTGGACAGATCATTTAACCTCTGTTTGCCTTGCTTTCCTTATCTGTAAAATGGGGATAATAATGATACCTACCTCCAAGGGTTGTTGTGAGAATAAAATGAGTTACTATTTTAAGTGCTTTGCAAATCTTAAAGTGCTATGTAAATAAATGTTAACTATTATTAAAGAATACTGGGGAAAAGGTGTAGGAGTTGATTGCTATCTTAAGGACTGTCATTGGGAAGAGACATTTGACTTCACAGGGTCATAGATTTAGAGCTGGAAGTGAATTTAGAGTATAATCTAGTCCTACACTCTGATATTACAGATGAGGAAATTGAGACTCAGAGAGGTTTAGTGATTTGCCCAGGGTCACTTAGATGTATTACATGCACAAGTAATAAATACCAGCTCCAGAATTTGAATCTAAGTTGTCTGACTACAAATCTGGAGCTCTTTACCCTGTTCCAAGCTCCTGCATCAACTTTATGAGCAGAACAAGGAGCGGTAGGCAGATACGAGAGAGACCTTACTCATCTTAAGAGGCTAAAACCTTTTTTGAACAATTATTAAACTTTGTAGAGGGACTTCATATTGGGGTCATAAGGTGGATTGGATGGACCTAGAAGCAATAGATTCTGCACCTATCCATCCATCTCTTGAGATGTAATATTTCCTTATTTATTTATTTTTAGAATTTTGAATTCCAAATTGAGATGTACTGTTTTCAATAGTTACACCTCCCAATAATATTTCACACTTTTATAATACATTAGGCTTTGTACAGCACTTTACATGCATATCTTATTTGACCTTCATAATAACCCTGGAATGATCCAATTGTGTCATCATCCCCATTTTAGAGATGACAGAAGTTATGTGTCTTGCCCGGGGTCACATAGTTAAAATGTATCAGAGACTAAATCTGAACCCAGACCTTCTTGAATTCAGCATTCATTGTTATCTATTACCTAGAATCCTAGGTTAAGTATGCTGCAATTTCAAAGAAAGAATTCTTCATTCCTAATCTCCCATCTAAATAACAAACCCAAAACATACCATACAGAGGTAGAATCAAGTGCCAAGGATAATGATCTCATAAGACGTCACCTCCACTGGGGTTTTGAGTGAGGGGGTGAGCTATCATTTTGAAAGGTTACTTCTTTTGGAACTTCCTAATAAACCCTAAATGTACCGCTAGGCAGAATACCATGGCTGTGTGACCCTGGGCAAAACACTTAACCTCTATTCGCTTCAGTTCCTTATCTGTAAAATGGGGACATACTGAAGAAGGAAGTGGCAAACCACTCCAGTATGTTTGCCAAGAAAACCCCATGGACAAAGTCCATGGGTTCACGTAGAGTTGGACGCAAGTGAATGACTGAACAATCACAGACAAGAAGACAGAGTACCAAGACAGTTGTACTCAGTGATCAATGGGGACAAAGTTTATTTGCATACTAAAACTAAATGTGGGAAAGGAACTTTGAGGTCTCAAACAAAACTGAAAATCTGTTCCTGGCTGTCTGGCAAGTCACTTAAACTGCCTCTCCTTCCCCAAAAAAGACTGAAAATCTGCACGCATTTCTTCAGTTGCTTCTCCAGGCTGCCTGTGGAACTTAAGCTCTGTTTTGGTTTGGTTTCTTTCAGCTGTTCAACAGGCAACAGAATCATAGAAAAACGGCTGGATTTGGAATTGGAAGACCTGAGTTTGAATCTTCCACCTGCTCCTCATTTCCTGTATGACTTTAAACAAGATGCTTCAGCTCTCTGGGCCTCAGTTTCCTCATCTGTAAAACTGGGGGGAGGGGGAGAAGTTGGACTATGGCTTCTGAGGTCCCTTCTAGCACTAAACCTGCAATCTCATGACAATAGAGAATCATAGCAGATCTAAGACACATTAGAACATAGAATAGCAGACTTGGCCTTAGAAACAATCTGTAGAAGAGGAAATAAGCCCAGAGGGAGGAAGCTCACTAGTAGGCAATGAGAATCTGGCTTTGCTGGGTCTCCTGTCCAATGCTCCTTCTATCATATTTCCTTTCTTATTCTTCCCTTAAAACAGGTCAACTAACACAAAAATGTTATTATAATTTTATTCTGAAATAAAAATGTTCATCCTATCTCTAGGTGGCACCTAGAAACAGTTAGGTGACACAGTGGATTAAGCACAGAGCCTGCGGTAAGGAAAACCCAAGTTTAAATATGTCCTCAGAGGGGGCAGCTAGGTGGAGCAGTGGATAGAGCACTGGCCCTGGATTCAGGAGGACCTGAGTTCAAATTCAACCTCAGGCACATAACACTTACTAGCCATGTGACCCCAGGCAAGTCACTTAACAACAACAACAAAAAAAAGGGAAAAAAAATAAGGTAAATATGTCTTCAGACACTGGCTAACTGTATGACCATATCACTTATCCTCACTTTCCTCATCTGTAAAATGGGGATAATGATCACTATTGATTAGAGAAATGCAAATCAAAACAACTCTGAGGGGATCATATCACACCTATCAGATTGCCTCACATGGCAAAATAGGAAAATGATAAATGTTGGAGAAGATGTGGGAAAACTGGAACACTAATGCATTGTTGGTGGAGTTGTGAATTCTGAGAGCAATTTGGAACTATGCCCAAAGGACTATAAAAATGTGTATGCCCTTTGACCCAGCAATACTACTTCTAGGGCTGTATCCCAAAGAGATCATAAAAACAGGAAAAGGACCCACATGTACAAAAATATTTATAGCAGCTCTTTTTGTGGTGGCAAAGAATTGGAAATTGAGGGGACGCCCATCAATTGGAGAATGGCTGAACAAGTTGTGGTGTATGAATATAATAGAATACTATTTTGCTATAAGAAATAATGAGCAGGCAGACTTCAGAAAAACCTGGAAAGACTTATATGAACTGAGTGAAATGAGCAGAACCAGAAAAACACTGCATACAGCAACAGCCATATTGTGCGATGACTGACTTTGATAGACTTAGCTCTTCTCAGTAATGCAAAGATCTTAGGCACCTCCAAAAGACTCACAATGGAAAATGCTGTCCACATCCAGAGAAAGAAATTTGGAGTCTGAATGCAGATGGAAGCAGACTATTTGCTCTCCTTTTCTTTTCTTGTTTTGTTTTGTTTCTTCTTTCTCCTGGTTCCTCACATTAGTTCTAATTCTTCTTTACATCATGACTAATGCGAAAATATGTTTAATAGGAGTGTGTTTGTAGAGCCCATATCAGATTGCATGCCGTCTTGGGGAGGGAGGTGGGAAAAGAGGAGGAGAAAATTTAAAACTCAAAATCTTATGGAAGTGAATGTTGAAAACTAAAAATTAAAGAGAATGGGGATAATAAAAGCACCTACCTCGAAGAGCTGATGTGAGGATCAGTCTGTAATTTGTAAATAGATCATTGTAAAGCATTTAGTACAGACCGATGTAAATGTTAGCTATTATTATTATTAAATGAGATAATAATTGTAAAGTATTTAGAACAGTACCCGGCACATAGCAAACATTGCGTGTTAGTTATCATTATTATTAAAATTAGACTTTTGTAAAGCGTTTAGCACAGTGCTTAATACATGCATATTTCCTTTCTTCCTTTCTTTGCCTTATGGCTAAAAAAAAATGCACTGCACTAATTGACCCAGCTTGATCCTTTGAGGTATTCTTAAATTCCAGTCCTTCTATTAATTTTATTGAATATCAGACATTGGTCAGATCTTTCTCTAAGCAGCCATAATCGTCACTGTCACATGAGGTACGTGGAACAGGCCCCAGAGTACTCAGGGTTTGGAGCTGTGACCACTAAGTAAGCCTTTAGCTGTCCCTTGGCTCACCCACAGGATCAAAGGGGAAAACAAAACCCAAAGATAAGAGGCTGGGGTGGGGGGGCTGCCTTTGATTTTCTGAAGGGCAAACAGGTGATGGTTATACTTTAAGCTGGCTGCCCCTCTCTGAGAGTCAAAGGTGAGAAGACATGGGCAGGACCAGAAATTCTGCTTCTTTTTAAACTCTCTGAAAGTCCTAGAATAACAGATTAGGAAGGGATAATAGAGTTTCTCTAGTCTACAGCCCAAAACATTGTTCTACCTGGCTAAGGATGTAATGCCCAAGTCAGTTCTCTTACACCATAGTTTCCCCCACCTATAATCAATCAATATGAAACAGATCAGACACCTACCATATTCTCAGCACTATAGAACCCTGGTTCTATAGAACTGAATAATACAGAACTGATTATATAGAACTGAGAACAAACTTCACAGAATAAATCCCCTTAATAAAAGGAATTGTTCTGTAAAACTTGGGCTCAGTCAAAAGGCTGGACTCGAGATCCTAGAAGGCCACATGTGGCCTTGAGACTGAAGGTTCCCCACTCATGACTATCTAGCATGCTGTAGGCATTTAATGGGCAGTTAGGTGGTGCAATGGACCAGTCATTTAGCCATTCAGAGGCAGATGGGGCCTGGGATCAGGAAGATCTGAGTTCAAATCCAGCCTCAGACACTTACTACCTATGTGGCTTTGGCTAAGTCACTTCATAACCTAATCCCCTACTCCTAAGTCTTCTTACACCTTCTTACACTTCTTCCCTGCCATATATTCTTCTCTGATCCAGTGACACTAGCTGTTTTCTGAACAAGATATTCTGTCTCTTAGCTCCAGGAATTTTCTCCGGAAATTCCCCATTCCTGAAATATTCTCCCTCCCCATCTCTGCCTACTGCCTTCCCTGGCTTTAAGTTTCACCTAAAATCCCGTCTTTTCCCAGAAGCCTTTTCCAATCTTTAACTCTAGTGCCTTCCCTCTCTTAATTGTTTCCCAAATATCCTGTATAG